AGCCAGAAGACCAGAACAGAGGTGACTGCACTGCACTGATCCAAGTGGGATATGATGGGGCTGATCCAGGCTGGGGCCCTCGAGGCAGTGAAAAGCAGGTGGATTCTGGCTGGATTTTGAAAGTAGAGCCCTCAGGGTTTGCTGGTGCAGGAGAGAGAGACAGAGACAGAGACAGAGAGAGATGTGGATTACTCCAAGCATATTGAGCTGAGCGTCTGGGCCACTAAGGAAAGAAGTGGAGGCTCAGAGAGGCAGAGGGGGGTGCCCCGGCCACATATGAGGCCCTCATGGCACCCGAGGCATGGCCCTAATTTGAGAGCTCAGGGGGTGTGGGTACCACATGGTATGGAGGCTGCTTTGAGCCAGGCACCTCCTCCCGCTGCCTCTCAAGTCTGATCCCAGTACCCCTCTGGCTGTTCTCTTCCTTTTAGTCTTCATTTCCAGAACTCCTCCCTGGAGAATCCAGTCCATGTGCTTCTGATTCCTTTGTCCTGAACTCATGTGGCCTGAGCACCCCCGAAAGCCTTATGTGGAAGAGTCTAGAGGCAGGGGGTGCGAAGGGGGGCACATTCCTCCTGGGGGCCAGGGCTGCATCTGGCAGCATCGCCAGCGTGTCCGGCAGCAAAGACACCTCCTCCCAGGCCAGGCCAGCCCGGCAGCCACCCAGCACAGACAGACTTTCTTTAGGGCCTGGCCGGTGCCTGCCCACAGCCCCAGCTCCAGCCGCCTTGAACCCCCCCCCCCCCCCCCCCCCGCCAGACCTCCCACACATTTCCTCCTAGGAGCCATGACCGTGGGATTTGGTTTTCCCCACCCTCTCCCTCTCTACCCAGCCTGCCACTCCCATGAGCCTCCTCCCTGGTGGCCACAGCAGGCCCGGCTCCCCAGGCAGCCCCCTGGCAGGGCCTGTGTGTGGCCAGAGAGCCATAGGGTGGGCGTCTGACCCTCCCTGGCACCACTCCCATCCTCCGGCTTCTGTGTTCCTCCTCCTCCTCCCCAGCATCTGGGCTGTCTCTGGTCCCCTCCCGCCTCCCTATGTCAAAGGCTTCAGAAGGGTCTCCCTAATTCACTGGCTCTTTATGAGCACTGATCAGCCAGACCTTGCTCTAGCTACTGGGAAGGCAGAGTAACCAATGTTTAGAAGCTAGTACTTACCAAGACCTTTGCAGGCACTGATAAATCCTGCCCCCCCGCCCACCTCCTAAGGAGGAGTGAGTGCTCCTGCTCCCATTTTACAGACGGCGAGACTGGAGCACAAAGAGGGGATATTGGTTGCCCAGGGCCACACTGCCAGAAAGTGGCAGAGCCAGGACCAGACCCCTGACCACTCTACTCTTCCGCCTCTCATGAAAGTGACAGACGAGGAGGTCCTGGCCTTCTGGAGCCCTCGATCCAGAGGAGAGAGACAGGAAATAGTAAACGAGCAAGGACATACCATTCAGTGACAAGGGTGACAAAGATCCAAAGAGGATGGCTGGGGGCTTGGGGACTTGATCCAGGGGTCCCCAGGACCACTCTTAGGGTGAATGATTTCCTAGGATTCACAGAAATCAGAAAAGCTGTGATACGGTCACAATTTATTACAGGGAAAGGACACAGTTAAAATCAGCAAAGGGGCAGGTGCCTGGGTGGCTCGGTGGGTTAAGCATCTGACTCTTGATTTTGGCTCAGGTTATGATCTCAGGGTCATAGGATCGAGCCCTGTGTCAGGTTCCATGTTGGGTGTGGAGGCTAGTTAAGATTCTCTCCCTCTGCCCTTCCCCCACTCTAAATAAATAAATAAAATCTTTAAAAAAATAAAGTAAAATAGGGGCACCTGGGTGGTTCAGTCAGTTAAGCATCTGCCTTCGACTCAGGTGATGATCCCGAGGTCCCGGAATTGAGCCCTGCGTTGAACTCCCTGCTCAGTGGAGAGCCTACTTCTCCCTCTCCCTCTGCTGCTCCCCCAGCTTGTGCTCTGTCAAATAAATAAATAAAATCTTTAAGAAATAAAATAAAATAAAATAAAATCAGCCAAGGACCAAGGTGCATGGGGCAGGATCAGGGAAAGACCAGGCATGAGCTTCCAGGTGTCCCCTCCCTGTGGAGTCATGCAGACAGCCTTTGATTCTCCCAGCAGCAATGTGTGACACAGAGTATTGCTAACCAGGGAAACTCACCTTGGTGCCCCCGGGGTTTCTGGGAATTGATGATATAGGCAGGCTGACCTCAGACTCCCTTCCTCTAGAGGTCAAGCTGATACTGCGTGGTGACTTCAGGCCCTCACCATAAATCATATTGTGAACATAGACTATCTGGCATGGCTAAGGTCGTAGGTACACAGACACTCCTATCAGGCAGGACACTCCAGGAGCTTAAAGATGGCCTCCCAAGAGCAGGGTAAGGGTCACTCCTGCAGACAGAATGTGCAGGATTCAAGCACCCCAAACCTGCAGAGTTAACTCTTTACTGAGCAGGGTTAAATGTTATGGTGGACCAGGAATACATCTTTAAGGATTTCATGTTGAAACTAAAGCCAGGAGGAAGTGGGTCCTTACCTGATTAAGCCTTCAAATGAGACCACAGCCCTAGCTGACGGCTGGATGGCAGTCTGGTGAGAGAACCTGAAGAAGAAGCCATGCCAATGTCTGAGGGCAGAGAATTCCAGGCAGAGAGAACAAGAGTCCCTGTGTGGGACTAAGCTTTTAAGAAGAGGAGGAAGACCAACATGGCCAGTCAAGGATGAGGGAAGGAGGTAAGGCAAGAGGGGCCATCTGGAGCCAGGGTAGAGGGCCTTGTGGACAGGATGACAGAAAGAGAGGAGCTGAGGGGGGCACCCCATTTGGGGCCTGAACAACTCAGATGGTGGTCGAGCCATACACTAAGAAGGGACAACCTCCAAGATGACCCCCATGATCCCTGCCTCCTGGTATAGGCACCCTGTGTAATCCCCTCCCCTTGAGTATGAGCAGAACCTTGTGACTGATTCACTTCTAACAACAGAATGGCACAAAGTTGATAGATGTCACTTCCAAGATTAGGTTACTAAAGATAAAGACTTTCTTCTTGCTCCCACTGTCTGCCTGTCTGTATGTCTCTCTCACTCTCTTGCTTGCTCCAATGAAGGCAACTATCATGTTGTAAGCTGCCCTATGGAGAGGCCCATGTAGTGAGCTTGTTTTATTCTTTTAAAGATTTTATTTATTTATTTGAGAGAGAGACCCAGAAAGAGCGTTTGAATGTGAGCAGCGGGAGGAGCAGAGGGAGAGGGAGAAGCAGACTCCCCACTGAGCAGGAAGTCTGACATGGGGCTCCAGCCCCGGGACTCCAGGATCATGACCCCAGCGACTGAGCCACCCATGCACCCCCCTTGTGGTGAGTTTAGAGCCAACTCCTCAACAGCCAGTGAGGAACTGAATCCTGCCAACAACACATGAGTGAGCTTGGGAGTGGATCCTTCCCTCACCAAGCCTTTAGATGACACTACAGCCCCAGCCTATGAGGAACCCTGAAGCAGAGGACCCAGAGAAGCAAGACCCAATTCCTGACTCACAGAAAGAGTTTGCTGTTATTTTAGGCCCCTACGTTTGGAGTAATTTGTTACACAGCAATAGATCACTAACACACCAGGTCTGACCAGAGATCAGGAGGAAAATCAGGAGCTATAGTGTTTGCCGTGTTGGAAAACATTGTAATCGATGTAATAGCCTTGAGTTGGCTTCCCCCGGTTGCAGAGCCTGAGACAAGGATTTAAGGGCAGCTCCTCTATAAGAAGGGGATCCTAGAAAGCATGGGTGGGGAAGCTGGGAAGCAAGACAGGGAGGGGCAGGCAGCAAATATAGAGAGTTTGAATAAGTGCATTACTACACACCTGGGGCTCAGCGCCCCCGGGGACCTCTGAGAGACTGTGTAGGACATGCATTTTCATTATCCCACATGAGGGGCGAGCATGCCTGGGTACTGACCCATCAAAAGTGATGCAGATTTATTCTCAGGGATGTCAATTCCCTCCCAATTCCCACCTGCATCCACACGGGCCCTAGAAAGCCCCAAGGCAAAACATCATGGGTGTTTACAAGGGCTGAGGCTAGAGCAAGATGAGTGAGGCACACATAGATTTTTTTCCCTTTGCCTCAGGCACCAATATGTCTCGGCCCATCACTGTGACCCCATCTTCATTTAGAATGTTTCTATTTTATTTATCATGGATATTTTGCATTAATTTTGATGATTTCAAACACTGCATTAGAGCAGTGTTTGCCTTGGGCGCCTGGGTGGCTCAGTCGTTAAGCGTCTGCCTTGGGCTCAGGTCATGATCCCAAGGTCCTGGGATAGAGCCCTGCATCGGGCTTCCCGCTCACAGGGAAGCCTGCTTCTCCCTCTCCCACTCCCCCTGCTTGTGTTCCCTCTCTCACGCTGTCTCTCTCTGTCAAATAAATAAATAAAATCTTAAAAAAAAAAAAAAAGAACAGTATTTGCCTTGACTATTGAGTTCTTTGGCACCCCCTTAAATTTTGCTTTCCGAGGGAAGTGCTTCACTTCTTACCCTAGGTCCAGCCCTGGGGCTCACAGGAGGAGCTCATCAGCATACCGAGGGGACACGGACGCCAGCTGCCACATCAGAGGTAGGGGGGCTCAGTTCCATCGTGGTAACAAGTGAGCCCCATATCTTAGGGGCTTAACACATCAGAGAGCTCATTTCTCACTCAGCCCCATATCTTAGGGGCTTAACACATCAGAGAGCTCATTTCTCACTCGGCCACCGCCTGCGGCATCGCAGGTCACTCTAGCTGAAGGAAAAGAAAACAGGGTGGCCGCACCAGCTCTTAAAGCTTCTGCCCAGAAGTGACTCATGTCATGGCTGCTCACATTTCATTGGCTAAAGCAAGTCACATGGCCACACAAGTGGGTGGGGCAGTGAGTTCTGCCCTTGTGCCTGCAAGGACTTGGCAGCACCTGGGTTGAGGCCGAGGGGGCAGCTGGGTGTTTGGGGCTGGCGGGGGAGGGGGGGTCAGGTAGGGATGGAGACATACAAGGCGTCAAGGTATGATTGGTACTGACTCCCTAGAGGGCGGGTACCAGATTCTTGACATCGGGCAGGCCCATGGGGCTGGTGGGTCCAGCCGCCGCCCCTTTTTTTTTTTAAAGGTTTTATTTATTTGACAGAGAGAGACACAGCGAGAGAGGGAACACAAGCAGGGGGAGTGGGAGAGGGAGAAGCAGGCTTCCCACTGATCAGGGAGCCCATTGTGGGACTCAATCCTAGGACCCTGGGATCATGACCTGAGCTGAAGGCAGATGGCTTAACCAACTGAGCCACCCAGGTTCCCCCTCACTCTTTTTTTTAAAGATTTGATTTTTAGGGGCTCCTGGGTAGCTCAGTCAGTTAAGTGTCCGACTCTTGATCTCAGCCCTGGTCTTGATCTCAGAGTCATGAGTTCAGGCCCTGTGTTGGGCTCCAGGCTGGGTGTGGAGCCTACTTAAAAAAAAAAAAAAAAAAAAGAGAGAGATTTTGTTTTTAAGCAATCTCTACACCTAACACGAGGCTCAAACCCACAACCCCGAGATCAAGAGTTGCACACTCCATCAACTGAGTCAGCCAGGTGCCCCTCCGGTTTTTAAATTAAGAAAGGAAAGTGTTGCCAAGAGCCAGCCCATCTGGTGGCACATCCTTGGTGTTCTTTTTCACTGACTGTATGATATTCCAATCCTGTGAGCCCGTAGCTGAGGAAGCACTAAGCTTCCATTCAAGTCTCAGTGGCCATTGAGTTAAGGTGCTGCTTTAAAGAATCATTGACGTTGCTGATTTTAAGCAACTTGTCCCTTGCGTCCCCCTTATTTCCCCAAAGTTTGGCAACTGCTGGGAGGGGGTGACACTCTGGGGTCCCGCTGTCCGTGAGAAGCCCTCTGGACTCCAGGGCCACCATCTGCCCCAGCTGGCTCTGCAGCTGCTTATAAACTGGCTATTTATAGCCCCACCCACACCCCCAGCCATGTCACCAGACCTCCCCCTCCCCCTGGGCCACCAGTGAGGTCAGCACTGATGGGGAAGGGGAAGTGGGTTGCTAAGAGCTGGGGTTTGTTTGGGGTTCAGGGCTGTTCCTGCAACTTCCTGGGGGCCTTTATTTCCTAGAAGCTGAGACCATTGTGGTGACACCTCAGTCCACCTTCCCTACCGCAGTGTCTTAAAGAAGGTGTCTTGGGGTGAAAGAAGGAACGGAACATTGGGGACACCAGGCACAAACATATGTCCTCCTCCTGGGCCTGGAACGCGCCTGCACCCCTTTCAGGCAGTTTCCCTGTGCTGTGGCTGTGGGCAACTCTACCGCGGCTCTTTCTGTATACCCCTACTCAGACAAACTGCTCCCCCATGAGCCCCCGCAGCCTCAGGGCGCAGAGACTGAGAGGCCCAACCATCTCGAGGGCCCAGGCCAGGGAGGCACATGTGCGGTGCCCTCCACTCCCACTCCACCCCAGGGCCGAGGCCCCAAATAACTCGGCATCTATATTTAGAAGTTTGTGCAGCAGCGCCAGGGAGCTATAAATACGGCCCCACTCAGCGCTGCCTCCTAACTCCCCAGGCTGGGCCAGGCAGTGTGGGTGGTGGGGGTTAGGAGGATGCCAGCTGGGGCTAGGCAGGGCTCTGCACCAAGAGCCCCTCGTCAGGTGGACCCTGGGGGCCCCAGCCTCAGGGGGAATCCAGGTGTCCAGCCTGCAGGAGGAGACCAAGGGCCCATTGTCAGACCTGCCCTGGGTCAGGGATCAGGGTCAGCCCGCGACTCCCACTTTCTTCCCTGGCTTCCTGGGGTTTCCTGGCTCAGGGACAGCTGTCTGGCCGCACAATAGCTGTGTCGCCCTCCTGGAGCCGGCAGCTGGGCTCATCCGCGTGGGGGCTGGCCCGGCCCCTTCCTCTGCCATTGTCTCCCAGGCAGGGGGCTTCCTGTTAGCCCCCCTCCAGCCAGAGACCCCATCTGACCCTCCCCCCCACTTCAGCATGGGCTTGCATGGGTGCTGGGCAGAGACAGGCAGCACAAGAAGCCGGGAGGCAGGACACTGGGGTCCCCTTGTCTCCCTCTCCTAAGGGCCAAGCTGCTGTTCACTGAGCGTCCACTCCTAGCTACACCCCTGCGATCTGTGCTCTTCTTTAAGACCCTGACCACACGGTCCCAAAGGGGAGAGATCTGGTTTGCCCGGGACCTCTGACCTGAGACGGGCGTGCCCTGTGACCGTGCAAGCCTCCATTACCCCGCCCGCCAAATGGAAATTGCGGCACCTGCCCTTCTAGGGCTGTCGGGAAGATAAGTGAGTTCAGTCCCTGTAGAGTGCTTAGAAGGGGGCCAGGAATACACGAGGCGCTGGATGAGCACTATCTTCCACCAGGATGATTTGTTACTGTTGTAGCTACAATAACCAAAATATAGAATAGAATGTAATACAATGCAGTATAAACAGTATTATTATTATTATTATTATTATTATTATTATTATTATTTGAATAATCCTGGCTTAGCCACCTCCTAGTTGAGGAACCTCCTACCAGTGGTCCAGCCCTCCAGGTGCCAGTTTCCCATTTGACACATAGGGACCCATCGTGTCCCCGCCTCCCTGCTGTGAAACAGAGGTCACAAGATTGTCCCAGGAAGGGGGGGGCGGGGCGCTGCCAAATAGGTCAGCGGGCCTGGAACTTCAGGGCAGAGGGAAGGAGGAGGAACAGTGTGATAGCCCAGCAAGGGCCAGATCAGGAAGCTTGAAGGGGGTTTCCTTCAGTGGGGGGCACGACAGAGGTGTGTGTGTTGGGGGTGGTTACTAAGTATGGAGCCCTACTGGATGCAGGCTCTTTGCCGGCACTGCAGAGACACAAATGGACCAAAGTCCTGCCTCCGGAGCTGACAGTCTAGTGGGGGTGGGGGCAGACGGTAAACAAGGTAAGTAGGTATAGTCCATGATGAGAGGTGGCCAGGTGGTACAGAGAATGGAGAATCGAGAACACTGGGAGGAGCTGGGGTGCTGAGGATGGGAGGAGATTACATTTGGACTCAAGGGGTGGGTCAGGAAATTGAGCCAAAACACGAAGAGGAGGAGGGAAGGAACCAGGAGGTTATCTGGGGTAAGAATATTCCAGGCAGAGGCAACAGCTCGTGCAAAAGCCCTGAGGTCAGACCGTGCCTGGTGTTTTCCACAAGGAAAACTGCAGCCAAGTGAGCACGGGAAGCGCAGGAGGAGGTGAGGGCACACAGGTGACAGGGCAGATCAGGCAGGGTCTTATGTGCTGTGGGAGGACTTGGGGTTTTACCAGGGAGGTGGGAGCCATGGAGGGCTCTTGAGCTGAGGAGGGGTGTGACCTGACTCAGGCGTTCACAGGTGCCACAGTGAGGGGAACCGAGTGTGGGGGCAGGAGCCAGAACACCAAGGCTGGAGATGACAGACCTAGACCAGGGCGGGGGGCCAATGAGAAGGAGAGGGGTGAAGATTCTGGGTCTATCTGAAGGCAAGGCCCCAGGACTTGCTGACAGGCCAGATAGTGGTGGTGGTGCTAAGGATGTCCTTCTTCGTGACTTCCCCAATCTTGCAGCTAACATCTCCAAGCCTTTTCTCCTGTTACCCTGTTCCTTCCTCACCCTGTTCTGTGAGGCCAGTGGGCAGGCATTTTAATCCCATTCACCAGACAGGAAAACTGAGTCCCAGGGAGGTCAGACCTGCTCCAAGGGCCCAAGACACACACCAGGGAGGAAAAGGCCAAAGAATAGATGGTCACCGAGGGTGAGGGTAGGTGTGGGGACAATACCCAGGGCAGCTCCTCCCGCCTCCCCCAAGCTGGAACCCCTAAGCCCCAGCTCCTCCAGGTACCAACTGTCTGACCTGCAGTCCTGTGGGGAGGGCATGTCTAGCCCTGAGGTTTCCAGATTCTGGGAAAAAAAAATTCAAAAATCCACTCTACATCTGGTTTGGCCCCCTCCCCTCCCAGCCTCCTCCTGGGTCCTCCCGCCCCCAACACCCAAGGCCCTTGAGTCCTCTGGCAGAACCCTTCCCATGCCCCACCCAGGACAACGGGATTGGGGCGGGGAGGTGGGGAGGAAGAGGGCAGGAAGGGGTTAATTCCGGGGGTGGAGGTGTTCCAACATCTCTGGGATAACGCTTCTCTGCTTTCAGCCATGTGTGACCTTTTTTTTCCATGACCAGCCATCTTCCCCCTTTGACCTATCATGTACTTAGTATTTTCTTTAATTTTCTACACTTTTGCAGCCCCAAAACCATTTATTTAAAAAGGAAACTTTATATTGACATCCTAGTGGCAAAACCCTCTCATTGCCCCGAAGAGTGGGTAAATTGAAAAACAAATGAGAGCACAAGGAACATAAAACCAGCTATTTGGGTTCCAGCCAGATACTGCCCCGGCTAAACCCCAGGGCCGCCAAGGTGTTAAAGACATATCAGCACCCAGTAGAGACTTTCTTCCGGAACTTGAGCTCTGGCAGGGACTCAAGGACTGGGCTGCCTGCTTACGGGTCCCGGCTCAGCCACTTGTTACCTGTGCCTCGACCTCCCCCTCTGTAAAATGGGAATCATAGCCCCACCTGCCTCGAGTTTTGCGGAGTAAGTGGGTTAAAATAGATACATAGATAATTCTAGGAGAATCGGGCCTGGCTCCAGTTAAGCACTTTATTAAAAATTATTAGATGGCTCAGGAGAGAAGCCAGTCATGTGGTTTATTAGAAAAGGAAACAACTCTCTCATCACGTGATTCTCTGTTGCTGCCCAGGAGCCCCTGAAATGTAAGTTTCCCACCCAGGGGAAGGCTAGCCCAGAAAGGCCAGCTCCAGAAGCGTGGTGGCCTGTGGCCCTGCAATTTCTCTTCCTGGGGCCTGCGGGCCCCCATGAAGGGCCCCTTCAAGCTCCCCCAGCTTCCATTTGGACTCTGGACTCGCTACCTCAGTTTCCTCACCTGGGAAGCACGGATTGGGGGCCCTGTAGGCTCAGATGCCGGCCCCGGAGACGCAGGCAGGTTTGCCAAGGCAGTGAGCTCAGGGCCGCCCCCAACATGCGAGCCCCAAGCTATTTCTGACATGGCCCCCCCAACCTAAACACCCCTGCAAGAAGAGCCAGGCGGGGCCCTGGGCACGACTCCCACCCCAGCCCTGCCCGCATGGCCCCACTTTCCGCTGGGATACAGCCGGCCCAGGCACAGGGGGCCAGCGAGTTTGTCAGGCACTCAGATGGTGGGACTGGAGGCAGAGGATTTGCGAACAGAGCAGGTTGTTCGTGCGCATGCGTGTGTGCATGTGTGTGTGTGTGTGTGTGTGTGTGTGTGTGTGTGTATGAGCCCGTGCAACGCCTCTGGGTCTGTGTTTTTACTCTACTTTCCTGTTGGCTTCCAGCTGCCCCGCCAGTTCCGGGGAGGGCCCTGGGCCAGCCGCTGTCCCCCCCCCTTTCATAAAGTCCCAGCCAGCCTCGGGACACCACGCAGCTGCCCAGCCTGGAGAGACTGGACGGCCCGGCCCTTCCTCTGTTTCCCCTGCCGGCAGTTCGGACCATGGGAGGCCCCCGCCGCCGCCGCCGCAGCTTCCTCCTTCTCCTTCAAGGTGAGGATTTGGGGGCCCCGTGGGGAGGGACGAGGGGGCTGTGCAGAAAGCACCCCTGGGTGCCTTGGCACCCCGTGCCCCGTGGAGAAATGCAAGGTGTGGCTGGCAGCTCCAGGGCCCCACAGCGGAGGAAGCCACATGGCCGGGGGGGCACATGGGGAGAGGGGCTGGCAGGACCGGGGCGCCCCCTGTCCTGGCAGAAACTCTCAAGGTGCTCTAGGAGCCCCCACTGCCATGCAGATTTCTGAGCTCTGTCCCAGAGACACTTTGGGGGCTGCCCCCCTAAGAGGGGAAACTGAGGCACGGGGGAAGGAGAGGGGGCAAAAAGTGAGTGCTGGGACCCTGTAGGCAACTGCTTTTAACATAGGGCATGGGGGATGCTGGGGAGCTAGGAGCCAGGACCCCTCCAGTGCGGTGGGGTACTCCCAACATGTCCCCCACTGTCTCAGTGACAAGGGCAGCCCCAGAGACCCCCACCCTTGCTCCCCCAGACCCAGCCAGGACTCTGCCGTGGGTTGAAGGAATTTTGCCAGCTGTGGGTTTGAACTTGATTTTTCACTGTGACTTTCCCCCACCCCCACCCCTCCTCCCTTCCCGCCCCACCCAGAGTGTCTCTAACGGTTATGGTTATCGGGACAGCTTGTTGCCTGAGCAACCGGGCAACAAAGAGAGTGAAGAAATGACATTTGGGGTGCCCCAACCAGAGCTTCCCTGGGCCACAGGGTTGGGGATTCCCTGTGCTGGCCCAGTGTGGCAGGCGTGAGCGCAGGGACTCCCCCAACATCCCCACCCTGACTTTCCTCCGGAGCAAGGACAGGAGTCTAAGTGGGACACAACTACTGGGGGGTCGTGTGTCCCTGGGGCCAAGTCATGGAGCCGCTGAGCTCATTTTCCACAACAGTAAAATGGGGGGTGCCTGGTCTCCACTTTATAGGGTTAAGTGTTGAGTGAGTTCGACACAAACTATTCCTGGTTCACAGTAAGAATTAAGCAAACAGTACTTTATTTTTTATTTTACTTTGTCTTATTGCCTTCTGGGCAGGACACTGGTGGGTCTGGGTTCTGGGCTAGGGGTTCCTTAGCAGGAAGAGCAAGAGGATGGTGACTGCTCCGCCCCCTGCCGCCAGGGTCCCTAAGCAAGGATCTATTGCTCAGGGCTGCACAGGCAATGCAAACCAGATGGGACCCAGAGCAGATGACCAGCAGCTCCTCTCCTGGCTCCTGTTTGGGTGACTTCCAAGGCCCCAGACGCAGAAGGCCTGGCCCAGCAGCCTTGGTGGTGGGGGAGGAGATCCCAGCCCAGCCCCAGTGGAGGGGGTGGGGCACAAAAGAACCCCCCCACACACACACACACCACGGTCTGGGGGACTTGAGCTCGATTCCACTTTCCTCGGTCCCCCTTTTTCCACCAGATTCTTCCTGAGCTGTTTCTGGACTCCAAGCCTCAGTTTGTCCCTCTGTAGAATGGACATGACCAGAGCCCCTGCCTCCTAGGGCAGTTCTGAGCATGATGGTTGCTATTTGGGGCTTTGGGAGCGGGGGACAAATCAGTCCAGGTCCCACCCTGCTAGGGAAGGTCATTTCGTGGTCTGTCCTGCAAAGAGGAAGTGGGTCGCAGCTGAGGGTGGAACTAGCCAAGCCCTGTGGCCAGAGAGGAGGAAGAGAGGGATCCTCATTCGAGGGAGGGGAAGGACATTCCAGCCTCAGGTTACCTTGGCTGGGAGGACCTCTTGGAGGGGGATCTCTGGACCCCCACTGGCCTGAGGGGTATCCAATTTGGACATAGGAACTAAATGGTCGGGGTACCCTCAAGTCTGTATCCCCCACAGCCCCTCAAGCCGTGCTCACAATGGCCAACCCCAGAATTCCCCTGGGAGCCCCATCCAGGGGCAACAGAGTGTGAGTCATCCCTTTCCCTTGGCCCAGGAAGTGACTCATGCCCTCCCGCCCGCCCTCCCGGGCCCCATCCCTCCACCCACCACCCCGTTTTGGGTCTCCCTGGGTAATTGGGGTCTCCACAGCTTGGCCAGCATTCCCAGATTGGCAGAGACACGGACATCTCCCCTGAGCCCTTCCCATGCTTCCACCTGCTGCTGAGGCACCCTCCTCCCTCCCTCCCTCCCTCCCTCCCTCCCTCCCTCCATCCATCCCCGTTTCCATTCACACCCCCACCTTCTAACTGTGTCTCTGTCTCCGGATCTTTCTCTCAATCTCTCTATCTCTGAGTCTCTCTGTCCAATCTCTGCCATCGTGGTCTCTGTCTTTCCACGAGTTCCCTATTTCTCTGTCCACCTCTAGCCCTGCCTTAACTTCTGCCTCTTTCTCTCTCCCCACCTGTCTGTTCTGTCCTTCCTCTCTCTCCTCTCTCTGTGTCTCTGGCTCCTTCTCTCTCTCCCTCTCCTTATTTTCTCTCCATCACTATCTCCTAGTCTCTATCACTGGTGAACAAGGAGCTCCCCGTCCCTAGAGCCCCTGCTGACTTTAGGAGGATCCCCAAACACATGCTTGGGGAGTAGGGTGCCCCTGAGCAGCAGGAGTGGCAGAAGAGGGTCTACAGGGTCTCAGGACAGTGTCTTCCCGCGGCGGGGAGCCGGGGGTGAAATGTCACCACTGGGTCTCAAGCCGGTCGTTGGGCTGACAGATGTCCTGGGTGTGGTGCGTGCACACCTGTGTCCCCCAGCCGGGGTGAGGGGGCCGGAGCATTAGATTCGGGGGCATCTGAGAGAACACCTGGCCCAACCCCTCACCTTCACATAAAGAAACGATGATAGTAAACACTCGGACACACCAGGCAGTATTCACGCGCTTAGTTCTCACACGCCTCTAGGAAGGGCGGCCCATCATCATTCCCGTTCGACAGATGGGAAAACTGAGGCACTGGGAAGTAAGGTCACCTGACCAAGGTCTGGGATTTGAACCAGGGCCATCCGTCTCCTGTCTGTTTACTGAACTATTGTCACAGGTCAGCAGGAGCCAAGACCCCCACGGGCTCGGGCCCCTTCCCCACCCTCAGTCTGAAACCCATCCCCAGGCGATGGTGGCAGACACTCTGACTGTGGGCACTGGAGTCCAGGAGGACTGCTTGCTCTCTCATTAGCGACGGACAGAGCCCAAGCCTGGGAGGGGTCAGCAGCCCCTTTTCCCTCAAATGTGTCACCCTTAGTTCTCCGTCAATCCTTCCCTACTCTGGGCAGCCCCCCAACACACACCCTGTCTCTCTGTTCCAGTGCTGGGTGTCTCGCTGATTCTGTTGGAAGCTGGATCCCAGAAAACCAGTGGTGAGTCTGCTGGGAGCAAAGAAGTCCACAGCCAGAGCCTGGGGAAGGGGCCCTGGGCCCCCACAGCCCAGGCAGGAGGGAGGCCTGCTGCAGGGGGAAGGCCAGGGCTGCCCCTTCCAGCAACCCCTCCTTTGGGGATGATCCTGTCCCCCTCCCCAGCACCTGGCTCAGACCTCACCTTCCAACTGTGGTCACCATCCCCACAGACTGTGCTCGCTGGTGCCCTCCGAATTCCACGTGTGTCAATGCCACCACCTGTCGCTGCTCCCCGGGATTCATTTCTTCATCTGGGGAGATCTTCACCAGCCGCTTGGAGAGCTGTGATGGTACAGGGGCTTGGGGTGGTGCAGGGGCGCGGAAACAGTGGGACATAGCCCAGTGCCCATGGGGGATGAGTGGTGGTTGGGGTCTCAGCCTTTGGCTTTGGGACGGTCATCAAGGGAAGAGAAAGGAAAAGATAGAAAAGTGGGAAATAAGTGAATAAACATGGCTTTCTGGAGAGAGAGGAGCTCTGGAGTCTGTGCTTCACTTTGCCCTTACTGGACTGGGCGAGAAGATGCAGAGCTGCCACCACCCCCCCTGCCCCATCTCAGCACTCCCTACTGAGCTCAAGTCCAGGATGCCAGACAGGGCAGAGAAGAGCGGAGCTGACTGAGTGGGCTTCAGGAATGGCTTGCTCCAGCTGCAGCCCAGCCTCTGCAGTATAGCTTAAGAGTCTAATCCTTCCCCAAAAGACACTTTAAGCATCGGCCCCGTGCTGGGGAGTCAGGTGTGGGATAGGGATCTCTTCCTGAAGGAACTCATGCCTTTGGGAGGTGACCCTTTGCCCTGTTGTGTTTCAGACATCAACGAGTGTGCACCACCTTCACTAGTATCCTGTGGAAAATTCGCCGATTGCCAGAACACAGAGGGGAGCTACCAATGCATGTGCAGCCCAGGATATGAGCCTGCTTCTGGGGCAAGAACATTCAGGAATGAGAGTGAGAACACGTGTCAAGGTAAGAACCACCCCGCACTTTCCATCTCCTTGTCCATGAGGTTTGGGATCACCAGAGCCATTCCTGAATCATCCCACATCTGTCTGTCTGTCTGTGAGCCTCCAGCACAGAGAGGCAGGGTAGTGTGAAGGCCAAGGGCCCAAATCCTGACTTTGCCACTTGATAGCTGTGTGTGTGTGACACTGGCCAGGACACTTATTCGGAAATCACCATTAATGTGCAAGATGTGATAATACTATTGTGATTTGTGTGTGTGTGTGTGTGTGTGTGTGTGTGTTTTAAAGAGTCCCTATTTTTTACAGATAAAAAGAAAAGTAGCTTTGCCTTTTGTTAACTGTGTGACCTTGGACAAGCTCTTTCACCGCTCTGTGCCTATTTACCCATCTGTAAAAAGGGGGTCACAATGGTGCTTACCTCATAGAATTGCTGGGAAGATAGAGACAGCAAAGCACAGAATGGTGGCTGTTGGGTTTTGAATGATCCTCATTATGATCTAACGTACCCCCTCCAAGATGGGCCCCCCCGGGGTCCACCCCAGGATGGGCATGGAGACCGGCTGCTCCCATCCACCCCCCAATGCAGTCACATCTCTTGCCGTGGTCTTGCCGGGTGATGCCACGGTTCGGGCCCAGGTGCAGCCTGGCCTCTGTGCATCACCAGGACTTGCCCCCCTTCCAGGGAGAACAGCAAGCACAGGAAGGGGCTTCAGGTATCCACAGGGGGCAGAGAGGGCCAGCAGTGAATGGGCAGGAGCGACCACTTGCCCAGAGGGAGGGGGTTAGCGCAGAATAGAGAGAGAGAGAGAGAGAGAGAGAGAGAGCAGGGGAGGTGAGCAGAAGTGAGAGGTGAAGACAAGGTGAGCTGAGGGTCCAGAGGACCCTGGTGTGGGTCCGTAGGCCCTCCCTGCTGTGGAGAGAAGAGCCTACAGCCTTGGTCCCCAGCCCCGTCCTGCCCTGCACGCAGACAGAGGGCTGCAGAGCCTCGCCGGTGGGAGGGAAGGGAGGACCTGCGCTTCCGTGGAGCCCACGGGGAGGGCTCCGTCCACGGCTCTGCTGCTCCCTAGGGGCCTCTGGGTGAACGCTCTGCCCCAAACCTGTGGCCTGGCCAGAGGACAGAGACTTTACATGACATGTGCCTGGACAGGGGGTGCCGCCCACCGACTGTTGTGAACCCCCAGCACAGGAGGTGGCTGTGGTTATGGAGAGGCTGTATTGCTGTATTAGAACAGGCAGGGCTGAGAGCAGGGCTGAGAGAAGGGGGCTCTGTCAGGCCGCTGGGCAGGGACATGGATGCACAAGAGATGGGAGAGGGACCACTGTGGACCTCAAGCTGGGTGACAGGGAGAGAATTGTCTGCTGGCTTGGCCCAGGGCCTGCCGCCTCAAGACCTAGCTCTGTGACAGGCTCAGCCTTTGCCGCAGCTGAGGACACATGCTGCCGTGTCGTGGCAGTGGGATCTGCTGCAGACGGGAGACCCAGGCCCTTGTTCCACTTTCCCCCAGGCATCAGAGAACATCCTGGGCACCCACCTGGTGTCCCGAACCTCTCTGAATCCCAAGGCTCAGAACCCTCCCCCGAGAGTCACTTTCTGATGTTTGGACCGCCCCCCTGCCTCCCCAGCATCTTATTTGCATAAAACAAGAGGGGAATGGCATTCAAGACACTTGGCAGGAGGTACAGTATCCACCCTCTTCACCACCATCAGTAACCGCCTGGATGAGACCTGCCCCCACCGGAGCCCACACCGGCCTGGCCATACCAGCAGCCCTCTCAGGCCCTCGGCCACGACAGACCCAGGGACCCCATCAGGAAAGGTGGGAGGACGGAGATTGGAGGGCAGGTGCGCAGCCCCCGGCCAGCCCTGCCCTAGCCAGCATCCCGCCTGGAGAAGGCTCTTCCTGACACCCTGACCCTGGCTTCTCAGCCATTCGGCCTTCTCTGTTTCGTTGCGCAAGGCTCTGTCCCGACCCTCCCTGGTAGCTCTGATTCAGCCTGGATGATCGGGACCCGGAGGATGTTGTGCCTGGGGTGGGCCAGGTGACACCAAGCCCCCACCCCACGCACACACATGCACACACACTTAGAGAGTCAGGTGAACCCAGAAGCTCCTGTCTGGACCAGATGACAAGAGAGGCTGTCTTCCAGGACCATTGCCCCGGGTCTAACCCTCTCCTGAGGAGGTGAGCTCAGGTCCCATGGAGCACTGGACCGCTCAGGGACAGAAGACGGAGGCTGAGCCCCATTCAGCTGGGCCCAGTGTGTGCAGCGCTGGTCGGAGGCCAAGGGCCAAGAAGACAGAAACATGAGCTACCTCTCGCCCATCAGCACCTGCCAGAAAAAGGCATCCTCACTGCCCCAAGGCTGCCTGACTGGACATCAGTGACACTGCCCACCCCAGCCTGGTGCCCACTGTCCGGATGGACCTGACCTGTCTGGCACCGTCCTTACTCTCCCTGCCCCACCCAAAAGCCTCGTCCTTGGAGGGCCTGGCTCAGGGGTGGGTCTTGTCCATCTCCGTGGAGCTGGAATCTCAGAGTTTGCATGGATAGGAGTGTCCTGCGAGGGTCACCGGGATTCCAAGTGGGAACTCAGCCAGTGAGCCGCCACCGTGGGGGAGTTAGGACAAAGGCCATCACTGGGAGCCTCGACAGGTCCCGGTCCGGGAATACAGCACTTCCCCTGCACACGGTTCCCAGGAAGGCCCACCCTGGACTTGTCCAAGTCCTCAGGCTGGGGCACGGGTGGCCGTGATGTCCCTGCCCCAGCTGGGAGCTGCCCAGAGTGGCCGAGGGAGCGAGGGCTGGCAGATGGGGAGGACTTGGACCACTTCTGGCAACATCTGGAAACAGAACATCTGGGCCACCATGCTCGCCCATAGCATGCCTCCATGTGAATTAGAAAAGGCACCCACTCACCAGAGAAGAGACAGTGGGGCCTTCCAGATGCTTCTATCCCAGGATACAGCTGCAGGCACCCATCACCCTCTCCTTCCCCCTGCAGACGTGGACGAATGTCAGCTGAAACCCCGAATCTGTAAAAGCCGCGGCATCTGCACCAACACCCAGGGCAGCTACACCTGCAAGTGCCCGCCCGGCTTGGAGCTCAGCCCGGGCGACCCGAATCTGTGCACAGGTAGAGGCCCTGGCAGACGCTGTGAGCCTGCGCTGGAGCTGGGGAGGGGCCGAGGAGGATCCCGCAGCCCCAGGAGGAGGGAGAAGACCCTCAGGTTCCAGAAACACCAGGGGTTTGCTCTGCCCAAGGATTCATCTCCCCGAAAGGTCCCACCACAGAGCAGGGAGGCAGCAGGGCCTTCTGGACCTGGGGTTCCCTTGTGGAGCCCCCAGGCTCTGTGCACACTCCCGGCCTCACCCCTCCTCATCTGTCACATGGAAGCAGAGGAACGTGTCACTTCCAGTTCCCAGAAAGGGAACCTGGGCCAGAGCTGGGGAGGGAGTAGGCAAGAGTCCTTAGAAAGAAAGTTCAGGCTCCATGACTCAGTCTCCCTCCTGATTTCACAGCCTATAAACTGGGGACCATGGTCCCTGCCGTGCCCCTCTTGCAGGGAAGCCATTGTAGGGTGCATTGAGGTTGAAGTTGAAGGTCACCAGGCGTAGCATGTGCAATAATGGTGGGGTCCTTGGTGCCAGGCAGTGAGAAGAGGGGCAGTGAGTGGAGGGGACCCTGACCCTTTGGCTTTGTCCTCAGATGTGAATGAATGCAGGTCGGGGCAAAACCCATGCCACAAATCCACCCACTGCCTCAACAACATTGGGGGCTATCAGTGCCGCTGTCGCCCTGGATGGAAGCCAGTTCCTGGGTCCCCCAATGGCCCCAAGAACACCACCTGTGAAGGTCCGGAGCTCAGACGCCACATCCTGGAGACCCACACTCAGAACATCTGATCACATATTCAGTGGCACCCACACAAACAAAGCAGAATGACCCCTGGGGGTGCCCTGTTGTGCCAGGCGTTCATTCTTTTGAGGCTGGTTGGGAAAAGATCTGGAGGGTCTTGGGGAAGGAGCTGGGGTACCAAGGACAGGCTCCTTGGAGACCCCAGACAGCAGCTAATTACTACCTGGGACAAAGGCATTTCTATAGTCACAACCTGCACATCTGTACAGGACTCACATGCTACATGTCAGGCTCCCCACACTTCCCATGAACCCTGCATCACCAGGATGTGGGGTCAGCAGGTGATATCACCTCCAGCCAAGGGGAGACACTAACACAGGAGAAGGGGGAAGGCACGGAGGGGAAAGGGGTCCTGACTCCCATTTTGTGTCCCCAGATGTGGATGAGTGCAGTTCTGGGCAGCCTACGTGCCACGAGTCCACCGTCTGCATCAACACCGTGGGCTCGTACAAGTGCCACTGTCACCGGGGCTGGGAGCCCAAACCCGGATTCCAGAATAAGCAGCCCAACACCACCTGTGAAGGTACCTGGTCTGACCTGACCTCAGACCCTGCCTCTGACACACACAGACACTCTTGCACCTAATGAATGGTGTTCTATCCCCTGCAGAGATGTCCTTCCCCACCTGGACCCCACCCCCTGGAATCAAGAGCCAGGTGAGTGGCCCCAGCAGGGACCAGGAGTCAGGAATCCCTCTGTGCAGCCCGCCTGATCCACCCATTTTCCCCCAGCTTGCCCACCCACACATGAGGCTCTCTGACCCCCCTCATGTCCCCTCTCCTCAGAGCATGTCCCACTTCTTTGAAAGAGTCCAAGAACTACACAGAGACTTCAAGCCAGCCTTGGCTCAGGGCATCATGCAGGTAAGGGCAAGAGCTGAGGGGAGCCCCGGACAGCATGGGGCTGTCCCCCCGGCTAGGGATGCTTCCATGCGGGTGGAGACAGCCCAAGCAGGGGTTACACAAATACAGACATACATACACACCCCAAAACGTGTACACACACACACACACACACAGAACTGCTCCAAAAGAACGGAGCAGTTAGGAATTTCACCTCCATGGTTAGACCACGAAGGTTCAAATCCTCCCCAACAGCCCCCCTACTCCCACCCATTGCCACTTTCTGCTATGTGACCTGAGGCAAGTGACTCCCCCTCTCTGGGACTCAGTCTCATCTGAAAGCAGTGCCTGCTCTATATAGTTTGAAGGTTTTACGTGAACGAATAGAAGGAAAGTTCAAAGAAAGGGCAGGGCCTGGCATGCGGTGAGCATTATATGTAAGTGTTTGCCTATGTGCTAAGCCGGGTAGGAACGTGGGAGCCCCTGTGTCATTTTAAATATTCCAGCAGCTATGTTAAAATAAACAAGTAAAATTACACAAGTGAAATTAATGTGAAGACTGCATTTAATCCAATAGATTCAAAATATTACCACTGCAACGTGGAGCCACAGTTCAGGTGCTCGAGAGCCACATGTGGCTCATGGCAACCATTCTGGACAGGGCAGACCTAGACCAGAGCCTGGCAGGAAGCCTGCGCCCGGGACAAGTGAAGCACCAGTTACAGCCCACACGCACAGGCCTATACTCAACCCCCTCACTTGTCTTCTGACTACAGCACCGTCTCAGTGACTCCCCTGTCACCCCACTGACCCCCGGGCCGCCCCAGGTGGTTCTGCAGTGTGACCCTTGGTGGAGGGGGCTGGTGAGGTCAGGGTCCTTTGGGCAGCCCCTGAGGGACAGTGACCCACCAGCTGTCACCCATCACTCCCAGGACCTCATCAAGTCAGTGGATGAGATGCTGGAGGCCCCCAACGACCTGGAGACCCTGCCCCCACATAATAGGCACCTCATGGCCACCCACTTCCTCTTGGGCTTCGAAGCAGTCCTGAGGACACTGGCCAAGGCCATGCCTGGAGCCTCCTTCACCTATCTCTCCCCTTCGAACACAGGTGAGACCTTGCCCTGTCTTGCCCCAGCCCTGGACCCCATCCCACACCCAGAGCCCCCAGTCACTGCCCCTCTCTCCTCAGAGCTATCCCTGATGATCCAGGAGCGTGGGGATGGAAACATCACCATGGGTCAGAGCCATGCACGGATGCTGCTGGACTGGGCTGTGGCGACTGGAGACAACGATTCGGGTAACGGCCGGGAATCCGAGGGGGATGCCAGCGGGAGGGGGAGGGGAGCGGGGATGTGGCTAGGGGTGAAGTTCTGAATATGTAACAACTGGAAACTGAGCTATCGCCAGGGCCCCCGGGCATCCTGGTGGACTGAAGAGCCTGAATCAGAGGTCTTCGGAGGCAGGATGGGGCATGGGAGGAGGGAGGGCAGGAGAAGGTAGCCAACCTGTCTATCCCCCAGGCCCCACCGTGTTGGGTATCCTCTCCAGCCGCAACATGCAGAAATTGCTAGCCAACGCCTCCTTGGAGCTGGAGCCTGAGAAGAAAGTTGAGCTGAACAAAATCCACCAGAGTCTTTTCCGCAGTGCCAAGCCTAGGCTCCTCTCGGCAGTCAACTTGGTCTTTCTGAGCAACACAAAGACAGAGAAACTCAACTCCCCCGTCACCTTTGCCTTCTCCCACCAGGTGAGTATTCAGGTGGGGAGAAATCAGCCCTACTGCTCACCCCTTACTTAGCCAAGGTCACGGTGGTTCCTCTGCAGCCTTCATTTCCCCACTCTGCTCCTTCCTCAGATGGACCTCAGTGCCTTTGCACTTGCTGTGCCCTCTGTTTGGGACACACTTTTCTCCTACGTGACTCAGTCCTTTACCTGGTTCCAGTCTTTGTTCAAATAGTACCTCCTCTTTTAGGCCTTCCCTGACCTCCTTATTTAAAATTTCAATCTGTAGTTATGCCTCATCTCCCCCTATGCTGTTCCTTGTTTTAATAGCACTTACTCCCTTCTAACACGCTATCTAGTTTACGTGTTAGATTTACTATTTACATCTGTCTCCCCCACTAGCATGCCAACCCCAAAAGGGCAGGGGCTTGTGTCTGCCCTGTTCGTTGTGTGCCAGGCTGGGGGACAGAGCAAAGTAGGTGCTCAGTAAATACTTATCAAAGGAAAAGCAGCCCTCCTTGGGCTCAGCCCAAGCCCAGGACCCAAGAATGGGCTCCAGGCTAACCACTCCAACCATTCCCACCTGCCCACAGCCAGAGACACCTGGGCCACGGCAGGAGCTGATCTGTGCATTCTGGAAGAGTGACGGCAACAGCAGTGGGCACTGGGCCATGACAGGCTGCCAGACCCTGGGCACCGGGAATGGCAGCACCACCTGCCGGTGCAACCACCTGAGCAGTTTTGCGATCCTCATGGCCCACTATGACATACAGGTGAGCAGCCAGGGGCCACCCTCAAAAGCCTACAGGTGGCAAGGTTGGCTTAGGTGAGACAGGCAGCTGGTTCTTGATGGTTAAGGCCCAACTGGCTCTCTACAGTCACACAGACCAGGTGGCCCCACCCCATGCCCCCCAGCCCCTTCCCTGAGACCCCCTCCCCAGAGCTCCCCATGGCTCAGCAATTAAGCAGTGTGGCCTGGCACTGCAGACCCTGCTCTGACTGTTCACTTCAAACCAGTTGTTAAATATAGCTAAAAGCTCCTAAGGGAGCACAACTTTCTGTATGTGGCCTCAGAGATCCATAGGCAAGCTGGTCCACATGTTTAATTGGAATGGGCCAAGCAGAGTAGGGGAGGTTGTGGTCGAGGCCAAAGGTCCAGGAAGGACAAAAACGTGGGTTTCAGTGAGTTGACAATGTGACAGGTGTAGAAAGTAAAATTTGAGATGAGGGAGAGGAGGGTCAGAAAGATGGGACCATCAGTATTAGAAAAGGATGTGGCCTTGAGGCTTCACTGGGGACCTTCTCAGAAGTCTGGGTGTTTAGTGGGGAGGCCCATCAGGAGGAACTGGGGACCCCTGCTGCATCCATGGTTGTTCGGGGGGCCGGGGCTGTATTTAGGATGAGAGACACACAGCAGGCTTGCTCAGGTGTTGAGGGCAGAGGATGTGGGCGGAGGTGAGCGGCATGATCAGAGACCTACAAGGCAGGCCCCAGATGGGTCTGGGTGGCGAGGTCCACGGGGGCAGGAAGTCCTCAGGGCGTTGACCCAGCACTGCGCACCCCTTCCTGCATCTAGGACCAGAAGCTGGCCCTGATCACCAAGGTGGGGCTGGTGCTGTCGCTAGTCTGCCTGCTGCTGTGCATCCTCACCTTCCTGCTGGTGCGGCCCATCCAGGGCTCGCGCACCACCGTGCACCTGCACCTCTGCATCTGCCTCTTCGTGGGCTCCGCCATCTTCCTGGCGGGCATCGAGAACGAAGGCGGCCAGGTGAGGTCCGGGCCGGTGGAGGGTCCCACCCTCACCAGAGCGCTAGGTCGGCGAGGCCCGGGAGAGGGGGAGCCCCGCCCACTCCCGGGCCTCGGTGAGGACCACAAAGCCGGGAGGCACGCGGCTCCGCCCGCGCGCGGTCTGCAGCTCCCGCCCCGCCCCCGCAACTCTCCAGGCCGCGGCCCCATCCGCCCGAGGGCGGGCCCTGCAGGGGCGGCCCCTGGCGGCCCCGCCCCGCCCTGATGTCGCCCCGCCCCCGCCCTGCAGGTGGGGCTGCGCTGCCGCCTGGTGGCCGGACTACTGCATTACTTCTTCCTGGCCGCCTTCTGCTGGATGAGCCTCGAGGGAGTAGAGCTCTACTTCCTGGTGGTGCGCGTGTTCCAGGGCCAGGGCCTGAGCAAGTGGCAGCTCTGCCTGATCGGCTACGGGGTGCCCCTGCTCATCGTAGCCATCTCCGCGGCCATCAACAGCGAGGGCTATGGCCGCACCCTCTAGTGAGTGCAGGCGAGCGGTTCTCCGACGGGAGGGCAGGGGACCCCAGTCCGGGCCGCTGTGCCCCGCCCCTCCGGGGCTCTGACGGGACCCTCCCCTCTCACGCAGTTGCTGGTTGCACCCAGCCCGTGGCTTCCTCTGGAGCTTCCTGGGACCTGTGACCTTCATCGTTCTGGTAAGTGCCCCCCAGCCCCCCCAGCCCGAAGGGCGTGGCCCCACACTGAGCCCTACTAGACCAGTTCCCTCCCTGCAGTTCCAAGGACTCCCCTTAATGCAAATTCTATGCTCCCCGCCCAGTGCAATGCTGTGGTCTTTGTGACTACTGTCTGGAAGCTCACTCAGAAGTTTTCGGAGATCAACCCAGACATGAAGAAACTAAAGAAGGCCAGGTGAGAGCAGGGGCCAGGAGGGGGCTGGCAGGGAGCCGACAGTGCGTGGGGGGGGGCCTCCCCCACTGAAGCCCTGTCCCCACCCCCCTGCCCCCCGCAGGGTGCTGACCATCACGGCTGTGGCTCAGCTCTTTGTGCTGGGCAGCACCTGGGTCTTCGGCCTCTTCCTCTTCACCCCGCAGAGCTGGCTGCTCTCCTACACCTTCACCATCCTCAACTGCCTGCAAGGTCTCTTCCTCTTCGTGCTCCACTGCCTGCTCAACAAGAAGGTGCGCCGCGGCTGCCACGGGTGGGGTGCGTGGGGGCCTGCCCCTTCCCTAACCTGGCACCCTGGGCCCCACAGGTGAGGGAGGAGTACAGAAGGTGGGCCGGCAGGGTCACGGGGAACAGGTACTCGGAGTTCACCACATCCACATCCGGCACCGGCCACAATCAGACCCAGGTAAGGGCTGAGCCTGGGGTCAGGGTGCTGGGCCAGAGGGCACCCAACCCAGACACCGTCCTCACGGTGCTCCTTTCTCACCAGGCCCACAGGCCCTCCGAGTCCGGTATGTGACAGCACGGGTCTGGCCAGGCCCGGAGCTCCCGTGGCCTCAGCAGCTTTTGCACGTGCTAAAGACTGTCCCCTCCTCCTTCACCACTCCATTCCCTCTGCCCTCCTGCCTTGGCCCCCACGTGCATCATAGAAAGCAGGGGGCAGCAGCTGTAGTCTGGCACCGAACCCCAGAACACCCAGCCAGGTGGAGAGCTGGGACCTGCCAGGCCTGCTTCTGGCGGCCTCTCTGCAGCGCTCCAGCCGGGACCTAACGTGAGGGCAGCAGCTGGCCCGGGGCTACAGCCCCTGTTCCTGCTACACAGGCCTGGACAGACAAGACCGAGGACTCCTGTGCCTGGCCTTTCCCCTCATCTGTCTGCCACAGAACGAGACGCCAGGGTGCTGGGGCCCAAGCTGCCCCTTAAGCTAAGACTGAGGCCGGGGGTGGGAGAAGGGCAGGGGCCCTCGCCCCGGAGCCTGAGGTTCACGGTACAGAGGCCCATCTACCCCTGGAGGCAGAAGGCTCTCGCTGTTGTGAAGGTTGTGGATATTGTATGTTTTTTTTTTTTTAATCTGTATAAACCTTTCAATGTTGACACTTAAAAATTAAATATCACACTGATAACAGAAGCTGGCTGTGGGAGATGGCTGGAGCTCACTGGCCAAGCCTGCTACCTCTGTGAAATGCTGAGAACTGACAAGGGTGGGAGCCAGGATTCCGTAATAAAACTTTACTCTTACACAAATCTACAGCTTTTGAACAGTAAAAAGGAAGGCCTGCTGATGCCGCCTAGAAAGAGGCCTGGAAGCAGCACTCAGGACACAGGGCAGCTCTGGCCATCAGGCACGTGGTTACCGGCTCTGCTCAACTGCAAGACACACAGAGGGGAAGCCAGTGAGATGGGGAAAGGGGGTTCCTGTCTGGGCCCAGCCCCTCGGCCCGCCCGACACTTACTATACGTGGAAATGTCGATTTCTTCAGGAAGTTCTGCCACGTTCACTTCAAACCTGTCCTGAACGTCATTGAGGATTTTGGCATCGTTCTCGTCAGATACAAAAGTGATAGCCAGACCTTTGGTCCCAAAGCGACCTGCACGGGCCACCTGCAGGGTAACAGAAGCAGGGGGTCAGGCCACAGAGACATAACCTGGGGATCTGATGACAAGCAGGGCCACATCCTCACTCACCCCCACCCTGGGAGGGGGACATCAGGGAAGTGACACGTCTGTGGAACCACTCACTCGGTGGAGGTAGGTGTCCGAGTCCTCGGGCATGTCATAGTTGAAGACGATGTTGACTCGCTCAATGTCCATCCCTCGGCCAAACAGATTGGTGGCCACCAGGATCCGCCGCTGGAAGTCTTTAAACTGCTGATAACGTGACAGACTGGATGCAAGAGGAACAAGAGGCAGCCATCAGACACGGGGTTCCTGAGTGGCACTCCCACGAGGTGCCTGCCTGGGGCCTTTGAGGGCGGCATCCACTCACCGCTCCTCCTGGGCCATGCCCCTGTGGATAGCGATGGCCGGGAAGTTCTGCTCCACGAGGAGCTGGGCCAGGGCCATGCAGCGCTGCACTGACTTCACGAAGATCACCACCTGCGAGGGAGGGAGGCAGGAAGCAGTGGTCAGAGTCAGAGCCCCCGCTCCCCCACACCATCCTCACAAAGACCCAGAAGCCCAGGAAGGGCCACACAGTGTCACCTGGTTAAACTCCAACACATCCAAGAGATCAAAGAGCTTGCGGTTCTTCTCACTGTCCTTAAGCTTGACGTAGTACTGTTGCAGTCCGTGCAGTGTGAGCTTGGTCTCATCGTCTACAAACACCTCCATGGGCTGTGCAGGAAGGGGCAGGCAGGGCTTATTTCCGGGCATCTGGCCTGCCCAGAACCTTCCAGCGAAGGACCCCATGCTGTGATGCTTCCCGGAGGGCCTGCCGTCCCCCAGCAAACGCCTCTCTCCCAACAGCTGACCTAAGCCCTGGTCTGACTCAGGTACAGACCAAGCTCAGCTCACAGTCTGATAAGACATAGCGGGGAAGGCAGGCCCCTGGGCCTCCCAGCATTCTCGTGCCGTGAGGGAAGGGTGGGTGTCCTGGAGCAGCAATAGCTCAGGCCCTAGAACCCAGCAGGGCCAAAGCTGTCAGTCCCAGCCTACTCACGTCTTGCATGAACTTCCTGCAGACAGGCCTGATCTCCTTGCTCAGGGTGGCGCTGAACATCATGCACTGCTTCTCATGGGGTGTCAGACGGAAGATCTCCTGCACATCCCGCCGCATGTCTGGGTGGGGAGGGCAACAAACAGGTGCGCGTGAGTGCCTGGCAGACCATGACCCCCACCCGAGACCAGCCCCAGCTCCTCCCAACCTGTGCCAGGGAGCCGTTAGCGCCATGACGAGGGCGGTGTGAGCCGAGGAGTGGAGGGAGGGGTGAGTCCCAGGTGCCTGAGGGGCTGGACTCGGGGTGAGCACAGGCGTGAGAGGAGCTGCCATCCACTTACACGCTGCCAGAGCGGAGCAGCCGTGCCAGCGCGCCTCGAGCCACGCTTCAGGGAGGGGAGCCTGAGGCAGAGACAGCCGCTGGGGTGAGAGCTGCAGCCGCCTCCCAGGACACAAGCCCCATCTCCCACTGGCCCTGGCGGGGCACACTGAGGGCAGGCAGGGGGCTAGAACTAACTCAGCAGGTGGCAAGGCCACCCCATTCCAAGGGCTAATATGTACACAGGCCCAGACACGGCTCGTTTGGGCCCTGTGGCCCCACTCAGCTCGGGCTCAGAAGCAGCAGGTCACTCTGCCAATGCTAGAACTTTCCCTAAAATCATGTATAGAAGACCCGTGTGCCAGCTACCCACCTGACCCCTCTCTGAAGCAACCTTTGGCCTATCCTGTCATGGCCCACCTGGCTCTGAAGTCTGGGGGGCTAAGGGGGCTGTGAGGGTGGGGAGGGTGCGGCTGGGTGGGCCTCTGGCAGCTCCCATACCCAAAGAGGACACTCACCCAGCTGCTCCAGCATCTTGTCACACTCGTCCAGCACGAAGTGCTTCACGTTCTTCAGGTTCAGGCTCCTGTTCCGCACTAGTGCCAGGATCCGCCCTGGTGTCCCCACTACGACATGGGGACAGTTCTTCTTCAATACCTCTTCATCTTTCTTGATGGAAAGGCCCCCAAAGAACACGGACACCTATGTGGGTTGAAAGTTGCTTTTGCCTATCTAAACACTGAAGGCTCACACCCACTCCAAGCTGATGGCCACCCACCCTGTAGCCCTACCAGCTTCTGCTCCAGCAGCCTCCTAACCTCCTCCCGCCACCCCCCAGCCCTGGCCTAGAGCCTGAGAGCCTGGCCATGACTCCAGTGGAAATCAGCCCCATGGCTGGGACCAGCACAGGCCTCTGGGGGCCATGCATAATTCATCAGGCTTTTAAGGAACATAAACCACCGCAAACCTCAAACGCAGCCTCTGCAGCCAAGCTTGGTAAACACTGGCTGGGCCAGAGCTGGGCCAGCGAGGCTGCAGAGGACCATGCAGCACACCCAGCCTGGCCTGAGGAGACTTACCTTGACACTGGGCATGTACTTGGAGAAGCGTTCGTACTCTTTGCTGATCTGGAAGGCGAGCTCCCGCGTATGGCACATGACCAGGACTGTCACCTGCAGGGCAGGTGGAAGAGAGACACTCAAGGCAGTGTCCCAAGTCCTGCCCCAGCCACAGCCCACACCAGTGCTCTCCCATGGGGGCCCATGTCCCTCAAGGGTACCTGCCAGACTGCTCCCCACATCTCCTGCCACTGGAAGGTCCGGTCCAGATGCTCCACCTTCTCCCCACCCTTCACCTGCCATTCACTCCGTGTGTCCCTTCAGCTAATGACGACTGTCTCCCGCTGCCAGGATCCACAGGGAGACCTAGCTGGTGAGGTAACCCATGCTAACAGATTCCTGAGAGTCTGCTCTCTGGCTGGCCCATGACCACCGAAGGAGGCTGCTCCCGCCTTCATGCCCATGATGCCAAGTGCTGTGACCACACCACAGCCTCCCCGTGACTCTCCCTCTCCTTCAGTCAACCCTAAGGAAACCAGGGCTCGTGCACCCACACGCAGCCCACGGATGTGTGCCCCAGAATGACAAAAGCACAACACAGGAAGGCACCTCGATTCTCCAACAAAATTCATGTGTGAGGAAGTAACTGTCAACAGCAACAGTAGTAACAAATCTTTATTCAGTATAATCTCACCTGAATAAACTTGTACAATCTAGAAAAGCACATGACAAATTAACAGCTGTACCTCTGGCAAGGAAAATCATGGGCCCTTTTCAGTTTTCCCTCTCAGCTGATCATTTTTGGGGGCATTCTGTCACAACTAAGTATGGTACTTAATCTCAAAAGCCCACAAAGAGCACACAGGATCGGAAACGTTTAACACGGGGAACCGTAGAGACTGGCGCCTCAGGCAGCTCGGGCCCAACAGGGAGGGCGCCCACTCACCTGTCCGTTGACTGGCTCGATCTGCTGCAGGGTAGCCAGCACGAAGACTGCCGTCTTGCCCATCCCAGACTTGGCCTGGCACAGGACATCCATGCCCAGGATGGCTTGGGGAATACACTCGTGCTGGACTGAGGGAGAGAGCACGCGTGAGCGACCAGAAACCGGACACTCCCTGGGTGCAGGCTCCTCGCCAGGTGGCTGAGGAGACCACAGTGAGGGCGCTCAGAGGAGGCTCTTGGCAGGGAGAACCAGGGAGGCATACCCTCAGATGGATGCTCAAAGCCACAGTCCACTATGGCCCTCAGGAGCTCTGGCTTTAGCAGAAAGTCCCGGAAGCCAGAGCTGTGGATGGAAACATAGGAACCCTTGACGTCTTTCTTGGGGGGAGCAGGAGTGCTCTCTGGAGGAGCCTGGGGCTCTTCATCTTCCTCATAATCCAGAAGCTCATTTTCCACATCCTGTTCCGCCATGGTGCTGAGAACAGAGGAGGGAGGAAGAGCTGAAGGAAGCGAATGAAAAAAACCCACCCATTGAGGGTCATTGAGGGAGAAGGCTACCCAGCAGCTGCGGTCTGTTGACACAGGTCCAAGAGGAGTAAGGCACTGGAGCCGTCTTACAAGCCGGCACAGAAAGGACCCAGATGATGAAGCTGATGGCCATCACTCTCTGACCCCTTTCCCTCATACCCTCCCCCCACCTCACACACTCCTGCAGAAAGTCCCACCAGCTCCACCTGGGCAGCACCTCCTAGCCTAGCCTGTTGTGGTCACACCCTGCCCTGCTGTAAGCCACCTCATCTTTCTTGGGGCCCCTGTCCCCCATGCCCACACATGCACACACCCCTCCACCTCCAGGGCCTCCCTCTGCTCTCAGAGTGAAATCACCACACTTCCCTATGGTTCTCACATCCCTCCTTGT